CATCGACATCAATTGCGAAATATTTTTATTAAATCCGCCAATACTGTGTAAATATGTTTACATGTAGATATACAAAAAATTACAGATGTATAAAACAAAATTAAAAAAAATATCAATCGACTAGAAGTGTCAATTTGCGAAAGAGAATATTTCGTATGAAACGTACAGCAAGTTATGAGCTGAGAATATTTTGCCTAATCTACTTCTATCAAATTCATGAGATTCTTTTGCATCCTTTTCCTACTTTCTTGCGTTATTTTCGACAGGAAGTTTTCAACGAGCTCGGACAAACCGCAAGGTCTCGAAATATTCGGAGACTATCCTCTAAACTGCAACACAGGTAGCAAACCCGCGGAGTCACGCCAGACTGGGTTCTTCCCCCCGTGTATATGTATTCGTTCGACTTCCTCGGACCGCGCACACCGGTCGGTTCTACTTCCCGGAGGAAGACACTCTGTTACCCCGAGGGTGAACCCACATTCGCAGCTGCCTCGAGAGCTGCGATAATTATCTTCGGCCGCTACGCACCCTATTGTTCACATGAACACTCCGCCCTCCGCGTATCTCACGGATCGAGAAGGTTACCGCGCACCTGGACGGGAGAGCGTAAGAGCATACCCTTGTAAATACCTCGCGAATACAGTGCATTAGACGTTGTCGACGAGACTCTGCTTTCGCTCACGACCGAACTGGAGCGAACTACTTTAGTGGGAAATTTTATCGGATGAATAGAATATATCGCGTGAAAAATCAGCTAATTACAATTAATTTTTGGCGCAACAAAATTGTCGAATATTATTTCTGGAAATAATTAATATAAAAAGATATGTAATTTTTTAATTTATCAACACTTTTGCGGTATAAAGTAGTGAAACAAACTGCGTTAAACAAATCACGCTAATGAGAAAATGGAAATTATCGAATGAAAAATGGGGAGGGGAAAGCCGATGGTGGTTAAAAGATTCGCGTTTGCGCGAATTGTCGCCGGTTGTGCTTGTTAGTCGGCGAACAAACACGTTGTGTTCGTTCAAACGTAGACAGGAGTATCGTGACAATTGTACCGCGAAGGAAACCGTAACCCTTGAGTTCGCTTACGATGCTAATGAGACTCGTACTTTCCGAGACCCCACCAGACATCCGTATAAACAAGGTTTACCTTTCAACCAGTCGTATGCATTTGCAGCGTGCCAAGGCGCCACTCGGACAGACTCCTTCAATAATTCGCAGTGTAACGTGAAAATACATAGAATTTCATCAAGACTGCGCCCTTCCTCTGAAGCTTCGCATCTGTACAATTGCACTTGTACAAATCTCCCCTTCCTCTATCCGCTCTTCACATTCCCCCTCTCGTAATTTAGCTCGCGACGAGTAGACGCATATTTTCGTGAAAACTTTCTTCCTGTTCTCATCTTTTAGGCTGCCATCGATGTCATAATTTGCGCAAATTGCCGATACGTGTAGAGTGTCGCTCGAAATAATTGCACGTGGTGTTACGTTAGCGTGCTGTAATAATGCGTCGTTTCTCCCCGCGTCTGCGGCGACAATATCTTTGTGTGTGAGATCCTCTCTGTTGAAACACACGAACGTACCGCGCGCGTGTGCGTGTGTTTGTGTGCGAGGGCGTAGGCGTGCGAAGGAGTCAGGGCCAACGAGAGCATCGCGAAAATCGCACCGCGAGCGGAACCGCCGTCTCCCGGTTCCCATGCAATGCTAATGAGCCTCATAAAGCGCAGCGTACCCCAGTGAACCGAATAACCCGCTGACACACGGCGGACAAGTATATGTGCATGCCTGGTACGTGTACGTGTGCCATATGTGTTTGCGAACCGCCACACGAACACAGAGGACACGCGCGACCATACGCTTTGTATTCGTGCGTTCAACTCTTTGCATACGCATGTGCCACCGGCACGATGCTTCGCAATGCGATGTATCGCAAAATATGCGACAAATGGAATTTCGCAATGAAATTTAAACGTATGTTGCGCTTCAATTGATTCAATAAATATTCATGATATTTCTCAAGTTGGTCAAACTTTAATAGTAATATTCTTTGTCAGCGTGAATAAAAAAAAATTAATAAAACTAGATTTTGAATCACACGAATCATATCTTGTTCACGCACAGGTATGCGTTGCTTTAGTGTCTGAAGGACTATAATATTTCCGGCTCAATCCTCAGGTAAGAAAATGTCTCCTTTTTCTTTGTCGTTCTATTCTTTGTCGTATATTCTATCAGCACAGAGCTTCGCATGTGAACACCGATATGCGATCTTATCCCGTCGTAAAATCGGTCAAAATTCCGCGTTTTCGCACATCGATCGCTATCATGATTTCTTTGTCTTTCTTCTTCCTTGCGATAATCAGAGGCATTCAACAGATAATTAGTCCGATGTCTCTTTTAATAAGATCGTGTACGCTCGGTATTACACGAAGATAACAGAAATCTTTTCACAGAGGATGTAATTATTTTTTCTCTTACGAACGCGCTTGCACGATGACGGTGGTTCCCGTTTAATTGACTTCAAGAACAAAACGCGATTCAATATTATTGGGAAATCTTACATTCTTGCGAATTACGGCAATACATTTCTCTTTACGCAGTTCTTTTCCGATAATAAACACAATTTCTTATCAAACGCTACCTCGAGCACTTTCATTTCTTATTGTTGGTTCGACGACTAGATAATTTTTTAAATTTTTCCGCGTAGATAAAAACAGGTTATAAACATTCTCAAACCCTTCTAATAATAATCATTCCTATACGCAGGTATCTATTTAGACATTTCGTTGAGAGGCATTGATAAAAATTTTGTTGAAAAATAATTCCAAATATACAATCGCTATAAAAATATGCGAATACGTACCTTAATAAATACAGTTAACATGCACACTATGATCACTGTCAGTGTCATGCAACGATTGTGAATCAGCCTTTTGTGATTATCCATGATTCTTCCAATTTTCTGCTCTTACTCCGATTTGCCACGGCGATTGAAATCACTTTCTTTTCTCAATAATTACGCGTTCATGACTTGCTTTGCATCGGCGTATTGAGCGCGCGCGATAATTTTGCACCCCAAGCTTAACTTAAGATTATTGAAGGAAGATAATTAGCGACAATGATTTGACGATTTAACGTACGAATGTAAAATCTATTTCACTGTATTTAGAATCAAGAGGCAAACTATTTTCGAATGATCGAAAAAACCGACTAGATGACCGCCGTGTTGCTTCGACGAAGGTTCAACGTGAATTGAAAGGAGTGCATCAGAACTGCAGCTGTTACCTGAACACGCGCTCGATCACGTGGTCTCTCGTATCCCTCTCCCTCTACGATGCTTTGATCAAGCGTACAAGCATTCAAGTTTTCGTAGGTGGACCATTGTATAAATAGGCTAGATATAATATAAGAATACAAGATTTTGCTTACAACGGCAAACGATATATGCGGTAAAACAATTAACGTCAATTTACGAAAGTTATCTTAATAATTTTCGCAAAGTTTCGCTTGCGAACAAAGATAAATATTTAAACAATATACAAGTCAATATCGGGATGAATAAAAAAATCTCATTTTTAAAGTGGTACATTCGATTCCTGTGAGATCGGTATTTATCTGATTGTCAGCTGCAGCAACAGCTGAACTACCGCTGTATGTTCAAACGAGCAGCTCCTGTGAAGCAGGTGCTCTTTTCTTCGCAATGTGGGTATTCACGGCGAATTTTACGGTTACAATATTGCGCCGAAAAAATTTGATTCGTGTATAACAAATAATTATAAACGCGCGAGTTTAAAAATAATTTCTAAAAACGAAACGATGCGCAATTATATGTAAAAGTAAAATTATAATAATATCGATAATAACTAATATCTCACAAAGTTTTGTAGAAAATCAATAAAATTATATTATATCTTTAATTGCTTCGTATTATATCAATGAGATATCCAATAAAAAGATTTTCCATGAAAAGTAATAATAAAATAATTTGTTGGAAACTTTTTTCAGTTCACGAGCGAAGAGCGAACACAAGCATTTCCGACAAATAGCAAAACAGGTATTGCGAAACATCCAAGCCAGGCATTGATTTCACGTGGAACAAGCGTCGTCTATTATTATTACGCACATACATAACTAACGCCTCGCCTGCGCTTATCGTATTACATGAATCCCATTATATGTTATTAGATTAACCACTTATTATAGAAGTTATTTTCTCATATAAGCTCGGTCTCAATAACAATGAATATTGACATGAAAAATGAAAATAGTTTATTAGCTAGCGCGACATTTTTCAAGGAATGTTAAAGAAAAAGGCAAAATTAAAACGTCATCAAACAAGTAAATTTCGAAATATGTAAAATTGACATTTCGACATTAAAATTTGACTGTTTTGGCTAAAGTTTTAGCTTTTTTTAAACAAAGAAAAGAATACGATTATGTAAAAGTCAACAAGTTTAGGACGTAGCGATATTATTAAGCAAAATCTTGTACTGAAGATGGCCAAAAGTTTGACTGAAACGTTTGCAAATTAACAATAAAAGGAAATTTAAAAAAACTTTCATCTGTCTTCGGCCTTGGATCCTCAAATACTATCATTATTTTTTCAAACAGTTCCAAAACTATTAAATTATATTAGAATTAAAAATTTAATATTTAAAATTTTAACGTTTTAGATAAAAACAAGTGTATGATTGATAGTAATAATACTAATTCTCATATAAAGTAAAATTTTCAGATTTATTAAATACTCTAATTGTTCAATATGCAGTGGAATAAGAGTTACCCAAAGTTTATCCGAAAAGCAAGGCATCATCTGATCAATAAATCTATTAATAATTTCTATGCAGATGCAGGACTCTAATTATAAATGTTGCTTAAACAACAATAAACAAAATACTGTAATATCGAACATTCCGTATGAGCACCTCAGAGGTATACTATGTTAAATCACATTTTTTCGAAAAGTTATTATTATCACAAGACTCTATACTCCAATTTTTATTCAACGGTAAATGTTTTCAATGAAAATAGAAATGTGACTGTATAAAGTTAAGTCACAATGTGACACATTCACCAGGTAAACAGTATTAAATCACATTAAAATCATATTCCGTAATCACACATTTTCTAAAACATATTGAAATTCGATATTATGTCTGCAAATACAAAAATTCTTTTCCTGAAAAATTTATTTATGTGACTCAACATATTATAGTATACCTCTGAAGTGTTTATATATAAGGTTAGGGAAAGTCTTTTTACAAATTAGAGCATAATTAAAACACAATTTTTGTTTACAAATCTTTTATTAAACTAAGTATGTGCCGTTTTGATCAATGACCTTCTGCCATTTTTCGGCTAGAGCCATTAATCCATCGGTATAGAACTTCTGGTATTTCTGGGCAAAAAACCGAGACAAGTGATTTTCACAGGCCTCTTTTGAAATTAGGTTTACTCCATTAAAGGAGTTTTGCAAAGACCGGAACAAATGATAATCTGACGGTGCAATGTCAGGACTATACGGTGGATGCATCAAAACTTTCCAGCCAAGCTCTCTTAATTTTTGCCGGGTCGTCAAAGATGTGTGTGGCCTGGCGTTGTCATGATGGAAGACAACACCCTTTCTATTGATCAATTCTGGCCGCTTTTCCTGAATCGATCGCTTCAGTCTCATTAGTTGTTGACAGTAAAGATCAAAATCAATTGTTTTGCCTGGCGGCAGTAGCTCGTAGTGGATGATTCCCTTCCAATCCCACCAGACACATAGCATCACCTTCTTTGGCGTCAATCCGGGCTTTGCAATCGTTTGTGGTGCTTCACCTCGCTTTGATCTTTTTCGAACATTATTGTCGTATGTTATCCACTTTTCATCGCCCGTTATCATTCTTTTCAAAAATGGTTCAATTTGGTTTCGTTTCAGCAGCGATTCGCAAATAGGAATTCGGTCCATTAAATTTTTTAGCGTCAAATTATGTGACACCCAAACATCGAGCTGCTTTGTGTATCCAGCCTTATGCAAATGCTCCAAAACGGTTTTATGATCGATTGCACACATTCTGCAAATTTCGTAGCCGTTCTCGCACAGGACGTCCAAAAGTAACCACCCGACAGGAAGATCAACATATAGTAGTTATTAGCAAGAGAAATAGACGCTTAACAGCACCGGAAATCCGCGCAGACATCAATAGAACTCGAAAAAATCCAGTATCGCTTACAACTGTGAAGAGACGTTTAAGAATTGCCGATCTAAAAGGATGTGTTGCAGTAAAAAAACCTTTGCTCCGTCCAATAAATAAGAAGAAACGACTTGAATGGACTCTCCAACATCGAAACTGGACGATAGAGCAGTGGAAACAGGTACTTTGGACTGACGAATCCAAGTTTGAAATCTTTGGATCTCGTAGACGAATTTTTGTAAGAAGAAACACCTCTGAAAAAATGACGCCGCAGTGCATTGTGCCCACGGTAAAACATGGGGGTGGTTCTATAATGGTATGGGGTTGCTTTTGTGGCTATGGCATTGGAGATTTTATAAAAATCGATGGTATTATGAGGAAAGAGAACTATAAAAATATTTTCATTCGAAATGCAATACCTTCCGGTGTCAGACTAATTGGCCGTGGCTTCATTTTACAACAAGACAATGATCCTAAGCACAGTTCCCGCCTCTGCCGAAAGTATTTAGAGAATAAGAAGCTGATGGCGTTATCGTTAATATGGTCTGGCCACCTTAATCGCCCGATCTGAACCCAATAGAACTTCTATGGGAAGAGCTTGACAGAAAAATTAGAATCTCCTATCCATCATCTGCTGGGGAGCTATGGCGACAATTACAAAATGCTTGGTCTTTCATAGAACGAGATACAATAAATAAATTAGTAAAAATGGATGCCTCGACTTGTGGAAGCAGTCATCAAAAAGAAAGGTGGTTTTTTTGATGAAAAGGCAGTTTAAAAGTTTTGTCTCAGAAATTTTTTAAATTCAACTTATTTGTTTTTTTTTTAATTATCTATAGTTTTTGTATTATTATTTGATTATTTAAACAAAAATTATATTAATAAAAGTTTTTGTTTCAATAATATCTGGTTTTTCAATGGTGTATCCAAACTTTTGGCCGGCAGTGTATGTAATGCGGAACTGCGGATGTCTAGTAGACATCTATAGGAGATTACATGGACATCTAATAGAGGTTTCGAATCTCCATGATGAACATCTAGTGGATATCCATTAGAGGTTTTTGTTCCGTGTGGGTACACTTTCTCGTATGAATTCTATCATTGCTGTGAAAAGTATTTTCATGGTAAATATTTGAATATTTATTTGAGCTATTAAGCTTTTGACTAATAATACGTATTAAAGTAAAAAAAACTACCCTTATATCTCCATTGAAAGAAGAAGCAAAGTTGTACTAAAAAACCACAATGCACAATTTTCATCTTATGCATATATAACTGTCGTGCACAACTTATACGAAAATAATTTTTTCTACATTTTCATCTATTTGTTTTATATTGTACGAAACGCGCAGCTTCAACAGAATTCTATGTTACCATCCTGCCAATACTGGTAATTCAGTTTCGTTGTGATGAATGAAAACGTACCGTTGCCTTTCGCAGCTGTGTTTAGCATACCGAAAAATACTGCAGCGTGCAGTAGCGACATTAATTAATTCTAGTGCATGAGTCAAAGTTTTCTGGCCGCTACACACATCGGAGATTGCAGGATCTAATTTTGACATACGAAGTGCGCACGCTTGGGTACGAAACGTCGCAAATTAGATGGATCGATGCCCGTGTCATCTCGAAATACGAACACGAGCTACAAGGTGCAATTATTGTAATGAGTTTTAGCTGTGTTTAGTTATGAAAAAGATGGTGATGGAAGCATGAGCCGTTTCTGCAATTCAGTGCACTTCTTCTCACATCTGCTACTTCGTTCGACAGGTAAAGCATCGTGAAAGCGATGCCCCGATGTGAGATCAATTCTTTATCTCGTTTTTAAATGGAAAAAGATATCGAGCAGGAAATGAACGCAACCTCGTACGAACGTAATTTGCAGAATGTGTGCATCTCCTAAAGTTTACAGTTACGGGAGTAAATATAATACATAGAAGCGTAACTATATATTATTATACAATTGCATATTTCTACACTGAAAAAAAAAATTCTAGGTAAACTTGTGAGATGTATTTAGTAATGCATTTTTTTAAATTATTTGGTTGTTATCATTA